TAATATATTGTATTATGTTTCATGTTTGCTGTAGTTACTTTCCACTGACCGTTTAATACAGTTTCAAAACAATGAAAAATTAAGTTTGGGACCGTGGAAAGGGTGACCGCGTCTGCTTAATAGAGGTGACCGTTCACTAAAGGTCACTTAACTAGTATTTATATTATGAAATTTTCGGGACTTTGCCACATGACCGCTTAACAAAGGGTGACCGCTTAATACGGTGCCGCTTAATACAGGTTCGACTCAATCTCGTTCCCCGAGCCTGCGATCCTCGGGAAGGAATCGAAGGCTCTGGGATAATCCATTACCGGAAGCCAAGAATCATGGCTAAGATTGAACTACGCATTCCTTATCAATGGCCAATCAGATTCCTCCCTGAAACGGATTATCCCAGAGCCTTGGATTCCTTCCCGAGGATCGCAGGCTCGGGGAACGAGATTGAGGTTCGACTGTATTAAATATGTCTATAAACTTTTGCATTTAGCTCAAAACAGATAATAGTAAATACCTTCTCCAGATTGTACAAAGACTTATATTAAAGATATTTCTTCTTAACTTTACCAAAACCATCATTATAAATATATATATATATATATTTTAGAACATTCAAACTCAAAAATTTTTCACATGGCAGCCATATTGAATTATTCGCGCTACTTCATGTATGACAAATATATTCGACTAATTAAAATTAAAAAAAGAACTACGAAGGGTCTTATATGAAGTATTCTCAACGCCGGAATTTGCATTTTTCTGCCACTGATCTTAAAATGACAACTGAATAATAAGAATGATTGCCTCGGTTTGAAAATACTTCAAAGCTACTAAATATAGATTTGGTCTGATTAGATCTTTTCTAGTTTGTGAATTTTACGCAAGAAATGGACCTTTTCCTTTATAACTAAAATTTTGATCTAGACAAAAATTTCATCACAGCTTGAAAGAGCATCACAAAATTAGTAATATTCCAAAGTTTCGTTGCGAAATGTTGTAAAATGCGGATAATATAGCCTTTCGAAGTTTGCCGTTTTTCAGTCATTTTGTATTACGCATGGGAAATTGACAGTCCAATCGGGTGTTGGGGCATCAATTTCCCGTTTGTAATACAAAATGACTGAAAAACGGCAAACTTCGCAAGGCTATATTATCCGCATTTTACAACATTTGGCAACGAAACTTCGGAATATTACTAATTGTGTGATGCTCTTTCAAGCTGTGATGAAATTTTTGTCTAGATCAAAATTTTAGTTAGAAGGGGAAAGGTCCATTACGGGGCGCACAAAACTTTGTATTGCAAGATTAGTAAGAATTAGAAGGTGCAAAACCAGATTGTACTATAAATTTTCTTATAAATCTATGTTACTACCAGACATAATATTACAGTGTGGTGCCCTGACATATGCGCAAAACAATTGCATCACAAGCGTGAAGACATACTACTCTTTTGAATAAATACTAATTAAGGCTTATGACTCGGAACAACAGACTAAGGGACGGACCATTAGAAAAGTGATGGGGGAAGGGGGGGATTTTCTAAGAAGCAATATATATATTTTTTTGTACACCTATAGAAATTTTTTTTTCTCACTTGATGGCTGGAAATGTATTTTTTAATGAAATTTATAGGCTTAATATCTTCCAAGCTAGGAATTTTGTTTTTTTGCACTATGTCTGGGAAAAAATTTTTCCTAATTTTTTTCTGGGGATAATTTTTTTTTGGTTTTGCCCTCCCAATCACTTTTCTAATGGTTCGTCCCTAACAAACTAACAGACTAACAAATTCCGCAGCCGAATCAGTAAAGCGACGCCATACGTTTGGGCACCGCAATCAGTTAAACACACATAGACACCTTGACAAGTTCAGTATATCTCATATTGTTCATATATTCTGATAATATATAAAATCAATTCCATTGATTATAAATATTCATAATTTCCTTTAAATATATCTACAAATTAAATTATTTACACTACAACTTTATTTAACAACAAATCTAGTTCTGATGTTATAACTACACCATATATATAGGGTCGATTGATTGGCTTCGCATTAATAGGGAGGCAACTGGCCTGAAAAATATAAAGACAGGTCGGCCTTCGCTGCGAAACTTTATTATTATTGAAACTACCTACACTGGCGAATATTTAACAATTATTCGCCGAAGGCGAGGTAATTATCGGGGAATATTCACCGAGACGAAGTCGAGGTGAATACTCACCGATAATCACCGAGCCTGAGGCGAATAATTGTTTTAGAATAAGTCTTTCGTGTTTTCTGGTACTGAATTTTTTGTGTTTTCTGGTACTGAATCTTATTTCTTTATCAATAAACTTCCACAAAATGGCTAGCCGCGCCATTTTGCAAATTTCGGTTTTGTTATATTCACCTGTTGGCCGTGAATATAACATCTTAATACGTCAAATTTGACCAATCAGGTTGCAGGATTTGTTATATTCGCTTGTGCAAAAATACTAAACATTGATGTAACTAATACAATACGCTTATTTGAACAACATTTTGCATAATTATACTAAAATATTCTGTCCAGACCTATAGTTAAATGTACTGCGCTGCAACTGTGCGCACATTTTAAAACTGATATAGACTATTCCAAAACGCCCTATATATACAGTATTAACTAAAACTGGCAGTGATTGTTAAAACTCATTCGTTACAACAACTTTACGGCTAAATGACTGTATAAAACTACACCAAGATAAAACTGGGGACGGCATCATTGGCACTTAACATACATCGTGACCAAGAACGCTGGGTATAAAACGCTGGAACCATTTTGCAGCGAGGAATTCTCACCAAAGGGTCGCAGAATTCTCGTTAAAATTTTACACGGACTCGACAAACACATCTTTCCAGTATTTTTTGGCAAGTTCTGGAGTTCTGTAACTGCTTTGAAAGTGTTTTTCTTGGAAAAGAGGATTTTCAACAGTCATATCTTCTGCCTAAATAGAAATAGAAGTTGATAAAATAATAAGTTCGTTGAATTAATGTTTTCACATGGCGATAATATAATATATGTTCCTATATTTGTTAATTTAATATTGCAAAGTTTACAATAAAATGTAACCCGCTGATCTTCATCAGATGCATCTCAAACGTATTAATAATTCATGAGTAAATTAGCCAACCGTATTGCTTTATTTTGCTCACATGATAATACTGGATACCTGATGAAGTATATAATTTAATTCAATGTTTACAAAATTTAAAAAAAGAATATACGTTACATTACCTGCAAGTAGCCAAGCTAGTCGTGGCAGGCAATGAATTTAAATGTAGGTAGTGTAAGTAAGTTTAGAAAAATATTTTTACAAATAAGTGAAGGAAAGTATATAAAGTTAATTGATTATGAAAAATCAAATCGCGCGGACTTTAAATCTGGTCTCTCGGATTTGAAATAGTACATAATGTTGTAATACGGCTTTTCACCTACCGAAGCAGCTAAGCCAGGGCATTCGTAGACGAGATCATCCCCTTCATCACAATCAGATTCTTCATCAGATGAGTCCGAGACGCAAAGATCAGGAATACTTTCGTTGCTCGCTCTACAATCATGATAGAAAAAAACACTATTAGGAATAGGTGGTTTTCATCCGAATCTGACGTCATCGTCGCCATGTTGGACGAATATCATAAAGGATTGTCGTTGTCAGTTAAACAAATCTAAATTCATCCAAGGCGGTAACAGTCTTCTCTTTTGTCTTCAGTCAGAAGATTGGATGCAAATATCCGAAACAAATCGAAAATTGATCGAAGAAGACAAATCAGTCACTATAGTCATAAATGCTTAATTCAAGGAGTATTTGGGATCATTTCCTGGAACACTTAATATATTTCCTTGTTTGGGATCCTATATACTCAGAGAGTTGCTTAGCAGAAACATGCATGTAAGTGTTTCAATGAAAACAAGGAAACCATTGAATAACTGAGCTACCACCCTCGAAGAATTCTATTATTACCATATCTCGCTTGTTGACCTTGACTAAATTCTGAAGAATTCAGAGGCTGGCCCTATAAGGCTATGTCATATATATTATGCTTAGGACTTGGCGGAATTGTGTTTAATTCATGATTTGAAGTAAGGAATGCAGATAATGACAGCAAAATACAGGGTGTACAAATTTTAACAATACGTTAATTCAACAGTTTTGGGGTTTTTGGAGACACCCTGTACAAAATACAGCCATTTGAAAAACATTATTATACATAACGTATTACCATGGTATTACTGAAGATTTCATTCAAGATTTTTTACCATAGAATGACAAGTCCTTGCAAGGACTTGTTTCAGTCTCAATAATAAAGGTTGAAAAGCAATATTTCAAGATTGAAAAATATTTAACTCTTATAGATCGGCATTATATTTGACTTCGCCATGAATGTATAGTATCCAAAGAATTTAGTGTATCGATAGAATTTTTTATAATAGAAGAAAAAAGATCATTATACCGACTATACTCGTATTATCTTTTGTGCAAAGTTTAGGTTATTTGAATTTACAATATGAAAAGTTGAAACAAAGAGCTAAAGACTTTGTCTGTGACAAAATCGCGTGAGGGATTTACGTGTTTGCATGCACGCCTATTGGGTGAATTTACTGTAAAGGCCATTTTAATGAGATACGAAGGAAGGTAATCGTATCCCCAAATTTCCGTTTGAACATAAGAGCCCATCGCGCCTTAATAATTTCTCTGTTTAATAACCAACCCATTTTCGGTTTGCCTTCAAAGAGAGACACGATATACTCGCGTAGACCGTTTATTAATAAGATAAGCACTTGTAACGCATCCTAATTAAAGTGTTGCATTAACGTCAGCAATAAGTGTAACTACCAAATTATATCATTATATGCAGAAATATCACCCGGAGAATCGGGTGGTCGGAATTTTCGAACACCCATTCGCAGGCAAAACCCTAGACATGCCTGCGTAGGAGGCTGCTGGAGATGTTTTTAAGACAGTTCACGACTCTTTGATATTAATCCACGCAGTACTATATTGCGCCCAGCAATTTTCTTTGACTGTGTCTGATCTATATTATAGCCCCTTTCCACGTACTGCCAACAACATCAACAAAACTTTGGTTGATAGGGAAGCAAGTGCCCCTTATCAACCAAAGTTCTGTTAGAGTTTGTTATAAGTGCTTTTAAGACAGTTCATGACTCTTTGATATTAATCCACGCAGTATTATATTGTGCCTAGCAATTTTCTTTGATTGTGTCTTATCTATATTATAGCCCCTTTCCACGCACTGCCAACAACAACAACAAAACTTTGGTTGATAGGGAAGCAAGTGTCCCTTATCAACCAAAGTTCTGTTAGAGTTTGTTATAAGTGCTTATATTTAAAGTTGAATTTCTTTGTAATTTGGGGGGACCTTCAATGTTCATGGCTTTTGGCATGAAAGTATAACAACAAAGAACTTACGGAAAACAAGATAAATATAATCCGTTCTCAACATGTTAAAATGAATAAAGGCTGACATCAGATCAAAGTTTCTTCAAAAGTATATAGTTAAATGAAGTCTAAATGTCTTAAAATCGATTTCATGCATTAAGGTACACGTTTAGACGCTGACGGATTTATCCGGATCAATTTCAGATGCACTTTTATGGCATTTAAAAAATACGTGGCTTTTGTCATCTGACAACATCATAGGGCCTTTCACCTCTGAAAGAGTCAACGCTCTACTGAATGTCATGGGTTTTCTACGCGTACTCTGCCGGTTTTCTCCCACAGGAAATGTCGACAGAATTGTTTGGGATTAGCCCCCCTAACTGACCCTTTTACCGTGGCTGTGTTCCGATGAAGAGGCTCTAAAATATTGGGCTGATTGATTGCCTGATTAATAATAATGAGTTTTATTTAATATTTCTGGTGACCGATTCAGTAGAATCTGTTCTCATTAGTAATTTTACATTGTTAAAGAATAAAGATGGTTTAGGCCAACTACAAACCCAAATACACAAGTCTTTTTGTAACAATTTCAAGGGTAAGCCGGAATATATAAGTTTTGTCGAGTGTCGTTTTTTTTAATATTGTCTGCTGTGAGCAGCCCCCGGACTCCACCCTAAAACCTGTTTCATACACCCACACCACCACGGGAGTAAAAGCCATTTCTCTCCGTCATCATTTGAGCGCTTTTTGAAATAGCGTTCTAAATTTACGACCTCGTATAGGCCAACAATCCTTTACCAGCAGTCAATTTCGCAAAATTTCAGATGAAACACACTCCGGCTATTGAGAGGAGAATCTTTTGTATGTTACGTAACACGCAATCAAAACTAATCAATATACATTTCCACTTCCCACTTGGTAATGACTATATTCAAATTTTTAAATTTCTAATACGTTTTTCAAGTGGCAAACAAGCTTAAAAAGTATGTTTAGTGCTTTATCTGTAAAATTATGCTAAAGTGAAAAGATTTTAGATGGTACGCCAAACTGAAAATGATGTCTGAAGTTCAGTAAGTTCTGCTTGTATTGCTCTAAAAATATGACGTCAATTTTACTGTATCAATGTATTTTCATTATTAACTATATTGTTTTATGTTTCTCAACCGCAAGATACATCTATAAAGCTAGGTTGCTAACTGTGTTATAAACTACAAAATAAAGCTAAAACAAAGTAATTTTGAGAGGAACACTTTTCATAGCAAATGCGCAACATTGAAATTAATTGCGTCTTAACAAGATAACAAAATTCGAAACATTATACCGTTTACAAGATCGGTTATTATTCGCGGAGACTGTTTCATCTGAAATTTGTAATAATGGGATATTATTTTCCCAAACTTACAAGTAGCTGGCGTTGGCCAGTGTGAAAGTACGGGGCGTAAAAAGTTTTACAAAAAATTCTTTCACTCTTACTTAATAATGTTGATGACAGGAATACGAGGCTTGATGGGCGCGAGAGGTTTTGTCAACGAACCAACTTTCGTTTGCTCTGACGTTTTCTGAAACAAAGAAGGGGAAATAATTATAGATAATGCCTAAATTGTTAGTTAATGCTTGAAAGTGGGTCGCAAGGGGTCTGTATGACAACATTCAAATCAAATGAAAGTTGCATCATTGACTGAAATTTGATTGAGTGCAAATCTGATTTTTACGATTACATCTAAGTCCCTGTTAACCAGGATAATTGTTTAATAAACTTCTTATCACAGCCAAAACGGCAAATTAGTTTGATTCCAGTACAGTACTGAGAAAGTTCATTCAAATGATATTTATGATCATGCAGGAAACAATTTTCGTGTCACGATTCATCTCGGCTCATATGAACATCCCCTAATACTTCAGTGCGGAAAACGTTTACATGTATAGCTTGTGTTTTAATCAAAAGCATAAACGGTTGACCACCAGAGAGGTCTGGTGACGAGGTTCGATAAGAATCTATTTTATTCGATCTATACCTTTTCAATGGTTTTAGTTTCAGTAAGATGGTCTTCTTCAAACGTACTGGCTCTTGAAATTGGACGTCGTTTAATGTTTATTTTGTTATAACCAGGTTGTGCTTTTCTCCTTACCGAGTAGACATTCGCTGCTTTTAATAACCTAAAGAAATATGTAAATTTGAAATTATATTACTGTACGTAGTTTTTCTGAATGAAATGGTATTAAAATAAAGTCTTCTTAACCACAAATAGCGATGTCTGCCTTATACTCACTCGAACCAATTTTGAGTCCCAGCTAATGTCATTCCACCAAATGGCATTCCAAGACCAAATTTTATGTCTATAGAAGAATGATGAAAAAAAATTCATTCAGTATCGCCATAAAATTATTACTGAATCACATATATTAATACCCTGGAAGCCGCAGAGGGTATTGTTACCTAAAAAACCTCTGGGCCAGGGTAATATATTAATATTATCTTAATCAATGGATAATTCTAATTTAAATATGTGTATACCCATTGGTATTCAGCCCAAAGTGCAGTAGAGATATATCTTCAGTCTAAAAGATCTCTCAAATGTGCATGGGTTGGCGAGTGTAGTAGCTACGTTTTATATAGCTAACATATCTCATGAATTATTTATGCAAGCCGTAAAGCTTTACGCAATATCTCGGGTACATGTAAGTGAGAACGTTTCCTGATCGGTTTTCTGATAGAAAAGTAATTGTTGTTAATCATTGGCGCACGTAGCCATAGCGACAGGTCATTTTGGGCCAAGTTTTTAATGATCTGCATGATTCAAACCCTTCAGAAAAGTATTGTCTACTCTTTGATCTATCTCGATGTAGGTTTATTAGCAGCATAGCTTGATCAGTTACTCATTCTTTACCGTAAAAATGCTTCTATATAGATGTAAAAAATTCTTTGAGTGTATTGACTCGAAATTAAAACTTGAATAAAATAATGAAAAATTACTCAATCTTTTGAATGAAGTTACAAAATTTACTTAACTTCAGTAAAAAAAAATGAATGACTGAAAATTTGCTCACAAATTTGAGCAATTTTATTCAATATTTTGACTCATTGACATTGTGGGAGTCAAAATTTTTTGCAGTGTAATTGTTTTTTCTATGGTCATAATCAACCAATCACAAAGCTTGGCTATAGGTCGTGTGGGTTGGAAGCGATCCAATATCTGAAGGAAATTGCCAATGATTTTCCATACGGAAGACGATAACAGTTTGAGTGTAATATTAGTTCAGGACTATATTTAGTCAAAATATCATGACTTGACGTTTCCGAATTGTACTTTTGCAAACGTTTCAAATTATAACTATTTGTATGGTTTGCCTATATATTTTTTCACTGAGAAAACGCATGGTTTAAGTGGCTATTAGTATTAGTAGATCACAAATGATGATTGAAAAGTTCAATACTTTGACATATCCATATACATATACATATACAGCTAATTCAAAAAAGGTTCTCCTTTGCTACCCTGGTTCCAGGGGCTCTTTTCGAGGCGAAAGAAACGAGAGGCGAGACCTTTGCAAACCGTAAACTCTAAACCTTAACCTCTAAGCATTCAAAGCATGATGGGAGCATCATTTAATCATTTTAGGAATCATATATGGGCCCAGTTCTTAGAGACATGGTAAATATCTCCTTACAAGAATAATTCATTCACAAATAGCTGCAATATTCAACTACTTAGTTTAGTTTGAAACTTGTAGTTTAACTGTGCTTCCATTACTTTGCGCTTAAAGTTTAACTTAGGTTTGCATGCAAAGGACAACCTTTTTTGAATTGACTGTTTTCTAATGCTTTCATACAAAGGCTTCCATATATAGTCGTCTTAGCTATACATGTTATGATTCGACTGCAATTTATAACGACACAGAATATAGCATTAAGGAGTGAAAAATTTAGATAACGGTATGCTCATTAGCCATAGGTAGACTGAGTAAAACAGTTATGTAACCTCTGGCTCATATAGTATAAACCGCTATAATTACAGCATAATACTGAGAATATAATAGTTTGTTTTTGTACATCCAGGAAATTGAATGTAAACACAGTTGCACTTCAAATTACTGCATGTATAACTACCTCCTCCGCAGGCCATGCCCGTTCGCAGGTTAAAATTTGAAATTTGAGACGAAGACTTGTGTCGCTTTCACGTTAATTTGTTTCCCAAGCAATTTTCACCCGCCCGAAATTTTCGCCTCCCTGATTTTTGAAAGGCCTGCATGCGGAGGAGGAGATGGGCATGTATAATATATAGAGTCACACAAGGTCAAAGAAGTTGCTTCCACATGGAGGGAACACTGGGTTTATGTTAGAATTTCAATAGTATATATTGATTTTAGTCCGTTTTATGGAAGTGGTTCAGATCGAGTGTTCGTTATATAAGCTAAAACTATATATGTTACTATCGCAAGGGGGAGTTTCTTTTGTGATATATTGAGATTGCAACATTACAATATTATATTGAACCGGAATCATTTAACAAGAGAGCACTAGGAAACTGCAACTGGCTCTACCAGCAAAGCAGTCTGCTCGCGGCTTTTTCAAATTTCTCACTCATCAAATTTTCATTCCAATTCTACCAAAATTTAGTCCACTTGTCCTTGGGCAATCTCCATTAGCAGTCGCAAATTTTCGCCGTTTCAAAACGCCTGTTTGATATTTTGTAAGTTGTCGTGCGGATAGACACAATGGGGCTTCCTGTGTTAATCTTTGGCTGGGGTTTAACGGTATTTAACAAGCAAAACTCAACCGAGTTTTGGTTTCTGCGTATATTTCTCGCATCTGTTCATGATTCCGTTTCACTCAAAACTTCAGGAAATAGAACTTCAATTAATACTGCGGACAAGATTGTGAAAGGAGGGTCAGTATTTCCTTGTTTCTAAACAAGCGGTTGGGAACTGCATGGGAAGTTTGCTTGACTTGCTTCAACAACTTGACTTGCTTCGTTAGCCTGCATGAGGTTTCAAGTCGCACTGATCGGCTTTCGAACAACTAAGTCTTAACCGCAAGTCAAGTCGCTTTTTGTACCCGGTACCCGCGTTTTCTACCATGCCCTCGACTAATGGAGTCACAAGCTGTCATTCACTCCGAGTCCAGTCACCAGTCAATTTGTCTGCGACCAATTAGTCATTTTGCACAGTTTTTTTTATCGTGAACTTGGAAATCGCCAATAACAAATATTTATATACTTTTTATTTATACTAGTTCACCGTGGCATACTGCAACATGCCAATTTGGCTGCAACAATCACTAATTTCGGCCAGTGTCAGTGAAATGGTACTAACTTACTAGTTTCACTAGATACTTTGACGCCCGTTGGTAACAAGTCTGATTTTGCCCGAGTCCAAGCCAAGTTACAATTAGTCGTTAATCGGGTTAACGAATCACGCTAGGCACCCATAGCCATAGGCATAGTCGACAGAAAAAACATAGTAGCTAGCTAGTACTTGTCTGGTAATTAGCTCACAATAGTTAAATACTGACAAACTGATATATATGCGATAAAATATAAGTCTGAGATGATTTACAACTACGTCGACAGTGCCTACAAACCAGTCAATAAAAATTAACTAAATAATAATAGTAAATTAAATTCACATACCCGAAGTCAATACCTCATGATCAATCCTCACTCTATGAGCCGGCATTTTCTGGACAAGTTTCGGTACAAGAGTCAAGATATATATATTTCCGTTTATCTTTAAGTCTGTATACAGACTACAGTATATCCTCACTCTGTTATGAACTGATATATCACGTACGGGAACCTTTAAAAGAAATCGAGCTGATACCAGCAGGGGAGTTGTTGACTTTCAAAATTATCGCTGTTTGCACGTCAGACAAACAATATTCAATAATTATTGTCACACCTCACGCCACGCACGTAATTTATAAAACGAAAATAACGAAGACAAGTAAACAGCTTTCCAATTCTAGAACACAAGTCCTTTACTTTACTCTTGTAAAACCTTTCTTGTGTTTAGCTGTAGCCACGAGTTCTGTTGTGATATAGTGCTCTTGACTTGAGTTCTTTTTTTTACTTGTAATCTGTTCTAATTTGCATTTTAATACTTTGACGTATGTAAGCCAATGTTATTGAATATTTAATAATGCTTGGCGTGAAGTCATGCAAGCCTTCCGTCAGGGCCGTAGCGAGGGGGGGTATTGGGGGGGTGGTTAACCCCCCCAACTTTGACATATTCGGAAAATGGGATGGCCATTCGGAAAATTACGGCAATAATAGTATATGGTTTTTATACGAAAATCATGAGATTCAGGCAATTTTTGGCTAATATATGAGTTTTGATATGTCCGGAAAATTTTTTTGACCCTTAAAATGGTACACTGACCGAAATTTTTATGGCGACGGGGGGGGGAGGTCGCCAAGAATTTTCTAATATTCGGAAATTTTCTTCGTCATTCGGAAATGTTTGGCCTACACCCCCCCAACTATAAATGCTAGCTACGGCACTGCCTTCCGTTAAGATTTCTTTATGGGGTGGGAAAATAACAAATTTGGTTGGCCTTGTATTGAAATCAAAAGTGACACTTCCGTGTGTACTTTAAGTTGGTTAAAATCGTAGGCGTTAGACTGTTAGTTGACCAACGAAACCGAAAAACGTGACGTCTGCCGCCTCGGAAACTACGTCTGTACGTGATAAAAAAATTTAAACGAACTCATCGGCAACCAATGTTGACCGATTTGTTTTGGCCAGTTGTTTTGTATCCGGTATATCCCACACTTTAGATTGTAGTTGTTATTGTTGTATTATAAACATTACATGACACAACTTTTGCCTAAAACTGTCGCATGCAACCTGCTTACAAGACTGTGTAAATCAAGCACACAACTATATATACTAGCCTGGAACAAACTATATATATATATATATGTATAGGATGCGACTGTACTAACTGTTCTTAACAGGAGTCATCCCAACCCCTGTTTTGTACGTCGAATTTTGGTCGCGTCGAATGCAATTATGACAATAGATAATGAGATGGTGGAGCTTCATTATCTATTGTTTGAATTGCATTCGACGCGACCGAAATTCGACGTATAAAACAGGCCTTAGAAAAATTTAGAACTGCAGTCAGTTTCTACAATAACAGGTTGTGAGGTAGTGAGCACAGGCTTACTGTGTGACAGTTGCCTGAATAGCTTGGAGGGTCCTGGCCCTGGGTGATGCCCCCCCCGAAAAATTTTGAATTTTAGAAATCCAGAAATCAGAATGGTCATTTCCTGCGTTTTCAGAGACAGAGTGACATTTGGTTTTGTTTTTGTCTTAAATATCTTAATTTAGAACTAATTTTCATATAAAGCTCGAAAACAATTTTAGAATTGCCCATTTTAAGTTTTAGAAGTACCTATTTTACATTTAGAACTACACGTTTTGGAAAATGGGAAGACTGATGACCCCTCGGGCTCTTAATTCTTTGCCAACTCTATATCGAGTCAGTATCGTGTACGTAATCACTTAACTTAAAATGTAGTTGAATGACGCTTATCAACTGTTATTTTGTTAATCTTGAGATTGAAATGTCTCCTGTGGCCTGTAACAATTGAGTCGTAACTGCAAACTCTCACTAATTCTCATTAACTGTCATTCACATTTTATTGACGTTTACAGCAATAAACCCACGTTGCCGTTGGTGTTAGGTTTGCCAAGAGCTGTACAATTTTATGAACGTGCATGTCACTAGTTAATTGAGGCGGAATTACCTCTTTTACTCTAATATTGACCCAATATTGGCAGTAGCTATACATGAATAAAGTAAACACTATCGCAACACGACAACAATTATGTACGAATTCCATGTGAACTACGTCGCGTATTTTTAGACCCCGAGTTTACACTGTATAGGATTCGCTGCTCACGACATCTTCGTTTGCTGCCCAGGAGCAACATTTAACAACAAAGGTTTACTCTTTCGATAACTTCTGTATGTTTCTGCTCGTTACTACCATTATAAATGTTTAGGGCTTTAGGCTATTTCGTTGACTGTTAAAACTGATAGTGTTGGTCTACATATCTTTCAAAATTTGCTCTCTGATTGGCTGTTTTATTAACCGTTTCAAAAACTATAAAATCGCGTCGCGTTGTACCCTGGATTCCAGAGCCTTCGACAGTAATAATAAATTGAAGTGTCGCGAAGGCTCTGGTTCAACGTACGGGGCGATTCTTTGATTGAACCGCGCCAATCACAAAACAGAATTAGTGGTTTTAGTACAGATTCTGACTATGACTTAGTCGCTGTTTATGAGTCAGGGTTAGCGGTTAGGATTAGCATTCATTACGGGAAACAGAGACTGACCAGAAAGGACACTTGAGTCAGCCAACCTGATTCTAAATATGTTAGATGTGTCCTTAGAAGGTCTAGAGGTTTGGACGCATACAATATACAGCCTCGGATGTTATACGTATACTCTAATAGCTCTGCGTCCTAAACAGAACATGAACACATTAATTAAGCCTGGTTTCCATATGATTGTATTAACGGGTGTAAAGCCAATGATTGAGTCACGATCTTTCTCATTAGCCGAAATACAACATTTTAGAACTGAAAATACGCGGAGTGATTATAACTAGAGAATATGATTTATATGTGGTTTACAGGTATAAACTATAAACTGAATGCGTTGAGAAAGATCGTGGCTTACGACCATATGGAAATCAGGTTTTCACAAATTTAATGAGAACAGTTTTATATTAATTAATGCAATTTCTTTCCAAGTCTCCGATCGTTTTTGATAACAAAGGCTTGAATGGGGGTATTCCTCTTTAATTGCTGAAAAAAAGTGCAATTTTATTCCACAAAAAGGGCACATTTTCTCCTGGCAACAAAAAGTGGGTGGTCACCTGCCCCCAATGCCTTCAATTCCGGCCTCTGGCGGGAAAACACTTCAGAGCGACAATTCGCAATGCAAATGATGTTTTTATGAAATTTATTGGCTCGCCAACAACTTGCATTCCTGTGGAACATCGCATGCCTAACTTGTGTTCCGCGTTTGACGTTATTATAGGAAAGGTTTATTGAGTAACATTATAGTGCTTCACGATTTGCCGCGTCAGACCTGTTTATTACAAAAGCTTATACCCCCAACGAAATTTGTGAAGTACCGAAATTTGAAAAAGAAAAGACAATGCCACAATACTGATAATCTTGGACATGACTGGTTGAGACTCCCGTCCCTGTATACAAAATTCGCACTTATCCCTTATGTTATGATAAATTCAACAGTTCAATCGTAGGTAATAAAATAGATGGTTTGGAAACTCATTAGAATAACAATATAACTCATTATCTATATGTTAGTCAACGTTTATTCATAAATCTGGTTGTTCACCGTCACGTGCGCATTGTATTTTTGCCCAACAAACCAATAGCAATGTCTTAGGAAAGTTAGCTATCTGTGACTCGAACAATAGGATAAATTGGAAATTGCTATTGGTGGATTTGGCAAAAATACAATACACACGTGACGGCGAAGGACCAGCTAGATTTATGAATAAACGTTGACTAACATAGATAATGAGTTATATTGTTATTCTAATGAGTTTCCAAACCATCTATTCTATTAACTATATGTTTCCATATGGTCGCAACGATTGTAAAGATAGAGTGACGATCTTTCTCAACGACATGCAGATTATAATAGTTTTTATATAACCTGTAAACCACATTTCAAAAACTCATTAATAATTCAGGAGGAAAACACAAAGAAAAATCATAAGCGTGTCGTGGTTTTATATGTGACAAAAATCATGTTAATTTACATAAACTTTAGCTTTGATTTTCTCGGTTTAGACAAAGTTTATTTTAAAAATTACTTCGCCAATGAACTCATATAAGATGAGTCGTTTTTGAAGCTATTTAAAGCACTTGTAGTCGTGTTTTATCACATATAAAACACTCCGCTACGCGTCGTATTTTATATGTGATAAAACACTCCTACGCTTGCTTTAAATAGTACATAAATCAATAGTATTCTCTATTTATAATCACTCTGTTTATTATCAGTGTTGTATTTCGGCTGATGAGAAAGATCGTGACTCAATCTTTACGACCGTTACGACCATATGGAAACCAGGCTTTAAGCCCACATTCCCCCAACTCAATGTTGATCAGTGGTAGATTACCAAAAGTGCGTTGTTTACAACATTGAACTGGGGGAGAAGGGGGTGACGAAGTTTATTTTGTCAATGTGCATTAACTTTGCAATATTGGCTGGAATGGTCTCAAGGGTTACGTTTCACCAAAGTCAGTTTCAGGGAGTATATCTGTAAGGCCTTAAATAAAATACTGTTTATTATATAAGAGTGAAAAGTGTTTACAAACACAAAATGGGCTTTTGAAGAGAGCGAAAAGATTTAAAAAGTATCAAACGTATTAATATGTAAATTTGTGGCACTATAATGGACATTGCCCCAAGACAAACTGTCCGATTAAATTTTAGTTCAATTTAGACGACAATTGAATGAGATTGATGGACAGATAAACCGGAATGCGTGCTGACATAACACAATATATAACTTAATGCAATGGACGTTATGGACCTATTATCTAATGAACAAAATTTTGATCTAGACAAAAATTCCATCACAGCTTGAAAGAGTAATATTCCGAAGTTTCGTTGCGAAATGTTGTAAAATGCGGATAATATAGCCCTGCGAAGTTTGCCGTTTTTCATTCATACGTAATAATGCTTGAGCCCTGGTGTACCTTTTTTCAGAAAGCGGTATCAATTTCCCCGTGCGTATTACCATGGATAATAAAATAAATAATATTTTATTATCCATGGTAATACATAAATGACTGAAAAACGGCAAACTTCGCAGGGCTATATTATCCGCATTTTACAACATTTCGCAACGAAACTTTGGAATATTACTAATTTTGTGATGCTCTTTCAAGCTGTGGTGAAATTTTTGTCTGGACTTGTTGGGATCAAAATTTTGGTTATTAGGCAATACTGTAGGTCCATTGAATTAGATTGCTGGGTAGATAAACTGGAATGCGTGCTGACATAACACAATATCCTAATTCAGATTTTGGTTTCTAGGATCATAATTGACAACGCCAACGGCTTAAAGAACTTAACCTGTTGTTATGGAATTTCAGCAATCACAGACTTACGCCTGTATTCTAAAAGCACACTCACGCTCACACTCAAAGTGCGGAGGTTCAAGTGTCAGTGCTGTTTTTGAATAGGACACACCGAGAACGGTTAATATTTTTATTCAACGTTTCGACTAACTTGTAGTCATCATCAGGAATGACGTGTGGCTATATACAGATATTTCAATTAAATTGTCACCAGCAATACAGCCAATACACCCCGATTGCACTGACGTCACAAATCCTTAGAGTGTCCTCCAGATGCTCCCTAACAATATCTGTTCGGGTACAACAACCACATACAGCGCAAAAATTAACCATTTTAATACAAAATTATTATAAAGTTTTATTATAAAGTTTTACAAAATTTGCTTTGTTTACAAAATTTATATTATGCAGAATTCTAATTTGTCCTCCAGATGCATCGTCACCACCGCTGTGACGTCATGTGCAATGGGTCTATAGTCAAATGTACAACCCAAGCGCCAAAAGCACAATGGGAATAAGATATTTATACAGGGTGAAATGTATTGTCAATCGTGTATAATGATCATAGGCAATTACTGTTCGAGTTTGGAATGTACAATGATAGAGCAGTTGAAGATTACAAGTTCTTGAGAGGCTTTAGTTCCTTGATTAAGTTTCGGTTTCCGCTGATGATTATAGAGATTCCTTATGTAGTAACAATGACCAATGTCTCGATTTGTCTAATCATGGATAGTTAAAACAATGGATAGGAAACAGCTGACGCGAGCAGACCAAAGAAGACGTGACTAATTTGAAATTCGTGATGTCACGAATACAACGAATATTCAGGCCTTATCTTAATGACGTAGTCATAAAAAATAATCCGCCATTTTGGGTACAAACATTTTTATTCAACCAGTTACTCAAGGCATTTTTTAATACCATGGACTGGTGGGGCATTTGCCCCACTGGGCCCCTTCCTCTGCCCCACAACTGAAGAAAAAAATGGCCTATTGCCCCAAAGCCCTATGACTTGTATTGAGTAAACGAGTTTAACGTTGAAAACAAGTTTAAAAAACAAAATTTGTTGGTGAGCATACTTAAACTTATGTTGTGTTTGAATGTTTAGCATGCAATTTATTACAAATTTCACCATTAAAACTTTGTTTTGAGAAGCTGAAGTTTTTTTAAAAATGTGTTCTCAGAATGTAGGAAATACTATTTCAATGGGCCCTTTGGCAGTTTTGCCCCACCACTGAAGAATCCTTAAAAAATGCACTGCAGCTACTACACAGCTGTGAACCATTATATCTCTTCAAAATGCTCCAACACAACCGCAGTCAGCAGTGCCACAGTCTTGCAGCAAAAATGCTGCGTTTTCCTTTAATTTTCCTACATTTTCCGCATTCAACTAGCTATATTGTAATTCAGAATGGCCCAATAAATAAAAAAAACTTGAAAAATATACACTAAGTCATGTTTTCTCCCGAGAGAAATAGTGACTCTCAATTTTCCGGAGACGATGTCGAGGGAAACATGGAGATTCGAGAGGAACAAAACTAGCTATTTTCGCGATACGATTGCATATGTGATATAACTATCACAGCCCATTTTATACTTGGCCAATTTTATACTTGGCCCATTTTATACGGGGCTATGGTCTACGAAATGTAGACCATAGCCCCAATCAAGATTGGATCAAGTGTATTAAAGTGTGTAACCCATTTTGCATTGGCGTAATGGCATCTATATACAAATTCTCGCGGTTCCCAATCGTATCAGTGTTCCCAATACGTATTATAAACTGCGATTTTTATTCAGAATCAGAGAGCGATATTAATGAGCCGGGTGGGAAAGAGTATTTTTGTGACCCGTGAATGCAGTGGCGTAGCCACACTATAATTTTTGGGAGGGCATATATCGAACGCCGAAGGCATAAGCCTTTTTAGGGGAGTTATCAACCCTCAATGGCGATTTCCCGTGTTTCTGGGGAGAGATTTTGCATAATTCTGAAGATTATTTACTGCAGGAAAGACCTGATTTTTAATGATTTCTCAATAATGTGGATCCTTAATTTGACTCAACGAAGCTTACTTGGTCGCGTGTGAATAGTTAAATCCAAGTTTTAAAACGCATTTTAACCAATAACCACCATAGGCATTATTTTCTGTAGTTAGATTTAGGAAAGATTAGAACTTTTATAGACAATTTGGTGAACAGATGAGATTGGTAGTCACATGGGTAGTCATCGTCCCCCCCCTAATTTCTACCCGGATTTCATCTTTTTACAAGGGCAGTCCTTCAGCCTATTGGCGGGGGGAGGGGCTGAGCCCCCCCCTTGTCTACGCCACTGCGTGAATGGTCAATATTTGATCGTGTGAAATGCTTGATTTTAAACTGTCATGATCTGTGATTTGTTCTACAGCCGTGAGGCGTGATTGTCGATCAAAAAATGCTCCGTGAAATGGGAATTAAGGATGTCTGTTTCGTGAACTGTGATTTTGATAATGGACATAATACGCGATAATAATTTATATGATCGATCTCACTCGATTGCACAAGAGTAGAAACTTCGGAGGCCTTTCGGAGATTGTCGGACGTACTCATCACTCAAACTTGTAAGTAGTTTTTAACTGCCAGGCAGAGAAGAGAACTTAAAGCGTAGTACGTACTGTACCATGCATTAAACATAATCGTTAAGCTATTATTATTATATTATTTTTATTAGAGTCTCGTTATCCGTGAAATGTGAAATTGCTTTTTTATGGCACGTGAATTGTGAAACGGTATTTTTTTTGTTGTGAAACGTAAATCATACCCCCCCCCCTTTCCCCCCTGATTAATCGATGTCGTATTTACAGAAGTGTGGGACTTTCAGTTTAAGATTGGGGTTTTTAGGGATATCACTAAGGTAATTTGTGGATAATTGAATTATTGAAGTCAAAGTTGTCAGAACTGGTTTGTATCGGTTTGTATTTTGCATGTATACTTCCGGTATTGTTAACCAAGGCAGAACCGAAACACTCAACAGAAAAAAACTAAGGGAAACTGAATTTTTCTTTCAATATAGAGACTATAGAGTATTGCTAATTTAGAATTTTTTTGTGCTCGATATTTTTTTTTGCTGGTGTTAGTGATGTTCGATTTTTTTTTCTTCCATTCGAGACATGCTCGATATTTTTTTTCGGATTTGCGCCCCCCCCCCCCATGAAAAATCAAATGGTCCGTCCCTTACCCGTTTGGTTGGTTAGGTGTTAGCTCAGCTGATCGAGGGAGGTGACCTGGACTGGCTACTGTTACTTGGACTCAGATTCAGATCCATGACAATGGCATCTTGAGCTGCCACTCCCACCGAACTAACACCTTCACACCAATTAAAATTGGTGGAAATAAATTGTTGAACTAAGCGTGCAGAAAAAAAAATCAAAACGCACGTTGTTGTCGTTTGGACGTCAGACTTGGAATGATAGATGTCACCTACTCCCATTGCGCCATCCCCCCCGTCATGTGACGTGCTGACGTCAGGATACCTGGTTCCCAAGTTGCTAACCTTGGTTATTGCATAACCTCATACAAAATTTAATGTACAGTGTTGTTATCTCGCACAGATGAAAATTCAAACATGTCACCAAAGAATGTGTGTGGGTGCATGTGTTTTGAAAGAGTTCTTGGAAATCTCAACTGTGTACTGATATTTACTGTACCTCTTAAACCGCCCATACCTATGTAGCGTCAAACCTAATAATTACTCTATATGGTATTTCCTACTCGAAATTAAGTCCAATTTTTCCAACATTATCGCCACCAAAGAATGTGTGTGAGTGTGTTTTGAAAGAGTTCTTGGAAATGTCAACTGTATACTGACATTTAAATACTTGTACCTCCTTGAACAGCCCATACTTATGTACTTATACCGCCCATCAAATAATTACTCACTCTGGTATTTCCTACTCCAATCTCAACTTGTGAAACAAAATGTTTTTATTATTAACAAATAAAAGAACTCTTGGGTCGTTGACGTAACACACTCTCCTCCGCAGAGGCTTTGTGTTTTGTTTTGGGGTTTTTCGAAGTTTGTAGGCGGGATAGTCGCGGGCTAGGCAGGCTAGGGGAAACGGCTCCGCCTCTCCCCTTTCATCCCTATTTATACCCTATAATTTCCCCCTAGCCTGCCTAGCCCGCGACTATTCTGCCTGCAAACTTCGAAAAAACCCAAAACAAAACACAAAGCCTCTGCGGAGGAGAGTGGACCGCCAGACGTAACATACTTTTAATAACTTAATGTTACAAATGGTTTCACAAGATCTTGGTCACAATTTTTTTCACTGGTAAATTCGAATTTCACTGGGAAAGTTAGGTGCTTGTAGGTTCGTTCCGGCCAAATATTAGAAAATCTGAACTGGGAATTACCTATATTGAAGATATTTTAAAGAAAAGAGAAACCTTTATTATCTTCAAGATTTATTCACCTAAATGTAAAGCTATGTGAAAACAAACTAAACTGTACTTATTCTATAACAAGTACTAGTTAAAACATTCGCATCCAATATTTATCTGATATACAAACTCGAGAAACGACCTTACAAAACGACCCATCCTATGAGTTCATTGGCGAAGTAATTTTAAAAATAAACATTGTCTAAGCCGAGAAAATCAAAGCTGAAGTTTATGTAAATCAGGACAAATCTTTATCCGATTTACAAACATTGATTAAACATTCATTTCTTTTGTATTTTCCTCATGAATTATACCAAGCGAGCTCCGCCTGGACAAAGCCAAAGGACTAACATTCTCAAAACAACTGCATGTTATTTATTTAGCTTTGCCAACTAGCGCAGGGTCACCACTGCATATGCCAATTACTGTGGGCCCTTTTACCTAACCCACCCTGTCAACTTTCCCTGTGGGAGGAAACCGGAGTTCCCGGGGAAAACCCACTTTCGGCAGAGCGTTGACTTTTACTCTTTTCACATGAGGACTGATTTGAACTCGGATTTGAACCTGCGATCTTAGAGGTGAAAGGCAAGTGCGCTAGCCGCTTCGCCACTAGACTTGTAATTTTGTCACTTAAAAGCCCCTTCAGGGTAGTGACGATAAAGTCAAATCAAATCAAATTACACACACCCGGATCGAACACGGAAATTTGGTAATCTTTTATTCACATGCACTACCATAACCGACCAACTATATATTTACTTCAGAATTAGTCGCACGTGCAATGTACGTGTCACTGGCAAGCTACCTAGCTGGACATGGACTGGCAGCCAGCAGAATTTTGAGCCCGCACTGTAGGGTTCGCTTTTTGTCACTGCATTTGGGCAACGGTTAATATTCTAATAAATTCTGACCATGATAAAAGCACAAGTATATAATAAACAGGTTATTAGTTTTATCGCTTTTCAGGACGATATCATAAATGTCCCTCATTCCCCCGTGACATTTATGATATTGTCCTTCAAGCGGATAAAACTGATATCGCCTCGTCCCTCATATGATATTAGAATGTTAGGGTTTGTAATCCAAGTGAGAATATATACATTTTAAGACCTAACCAGGAACGACTGCGAAAAATGCAGCACAAGGTCCTCTGGTAGGAATTGAACCAATTCAAAATAGGTTGTCCTTTGCAAACCTTAAACTCTAAACCTTAAATTCTAAACGCGCAAAGCTTAATGGGAGGACAAGTTTCAATCTTAGTAGTTGAATATTGCAGCTATTTGTGAATTGATTGTTCTCGTAAGGAGATACTTACCATTTCTCTAAGAAATCGGCTCCATCTATGATTTCCAAAATGATTAAATGATGCTCTCATTATGCTATGCGTGCTTAGAGTTTAAGGTTTAATTAAGGTTTAGAGTTTATATACAGGTTTGCAAAGGACAAAATTTTTTGAATTAGCGCTGTATATCTGAAAATATAAGTAGAACTTCAATATATATAAGCATACATGCACTAATGCCATATTTTCTTGGTTGACCGATGCATGCACTAATGCCCATATTTTCTTGGTTGACCCATGCATGCACTAATGCCCATATTTTCTTGGCTGAACAAGATTTATACTTTGCCAATTTTTTCCATGACAAGTGCACTCGCATACCGGGCTTTTGAACAACTGTATATGCTACTTGTTATAGTAAAAATTGCCAAAGTCGCTTATTCAGAAGACAGGCAAATACATCTTCCCGTATGAAATCTTGGCACAGAAAACTTCCGCATGAAGAGATCGGACTATATATGGAAAATATCCAGCCGGCTACTCGAGATCGCGGACAATATACCACTGGCTATCAGTTGAGGACTATATGTGGCCGTGGTGTGGGAAAATACATGCGGCTTCCTTTTAAAACAAGGAGACTCGTGATGTTTGTGAAAACTGTTCGCGACCATCCAAAGTCGCTTATTCGGAAGACAGGCAAATATATCTTCCCGTATGAAATCTTGGCACAGAAAACTTCCGCATAAAGAGATCGGACTATATATGGAAAATATCCAGCCTAGCTACTCGAGATCGCGGAGATGTTTGTGAAAACTGTTCGTGACTATCCAATTAAAACCAATAATCCTTGTAATCCTTTGTTGAAACAGACCATTGCGTGGGCAATGCTTCAGACGAACTATATTGACACATTTACGAGTGGGTATAATATTCACTCAAACATTGTACATCACGTACAAAGAAAATTAACTTTGGTTTTGAGAAATATCTATCTTCAATATCATTTTAGTTAATTTACTCGAAAAACCGTGCCGATTAAACATTAATACACACAGTGTGTCAACCTCGAACCCAGGCTTTCATTCTGCGCTACTCTGAGTGTGTATTAAAGATTAATCGGCATGGCTACGAGCCCGCGTGGATCATGCGTGGATTAAACACAAAATATCAACTTGAGAAGAAACAACTTGAAAATATACATTTTCTGAGCTCTTATTTATGCTTTCATAACGAAGAAATAAAGATTATTCACATATTTCGCCAAACACGCGTGCGACTTTTCATTAATACTTCTCGAACCGTGTAATTTCCTATACTAATCCACAATTTCAAATATCGTCAGGTTATTACAAAGTTAAGAATATTAGCTCATAGTCATGAAATTGATCGATACATTAAATACAGTCATGGCTATAGGGTTTCCGTCGCTATACGGTATGCCGAAATAGGGCGTACTTTATAGCCACAAATTGTAGCTAATAAAACCGTGGATATATATTACCTTATAGCCAGGCAGCCACGGCCCACGGTATTATACAACTATTTGAATTAAGGTTGTCCCCGAGCAAAGCGGAAAAGTCGGATACGAGCGCGAAAGGCTTGCTGGGAATCGCTAAAAAAATTAATGAATTTTTTAGCGATTCCCAGCAAGCCTTTCGCGCTCGTATTCGACTTTTCCGCTTTGCTCGGGGACAACCTTGATGAAATAGCTGTATAGTTACCTAATACGGAATATCCCATTGCATACTGCGGTTTATGTAACTATATGCCATAAACTGCTACAGTTCATACTACAGTGGAGGTCATGGCTATATAAGGTATGCGTGGCTATAAGGTATGCCAAAATCTGGCATACTTTTTAGCCACAAACCGTGGCTATATATGAGATATGCTGAAATCCGGCATGCTTTTTAGCCACAAACCGTGGCTATATATGAGATATGCTGAAATCCGGCATGCTTTTTAGCCACAAACCGTGGCTATATATGAGATATGCTGAAATCCGGCATGCTTTTTAGCCACAAACCGTGGCTATATACGAGGTATGTCGAATTGGGCATGCGTTTTAGCCACAAACCGTGGCTATATATACGTATACGAGGTATGCCGAAATCAGGCATACGTTTTAGCCACAAACCGTACCTATATGCGGTATGCCGAAATTCGGCACACTTTTTAGCCACAAACCGTGGCTATATATGAGGTATGCCGAAATCAGGCACACTTTTTAGCCACAAACCGTGGCTTTCTGCTCAAAACCAAAATGATTTTTATCTCTATATATTATTAAACTTTTGTTTCTTGTAGAAATTAATAAAAAAAGATGAAAAATCCCTGGAAAATTGACAAAGGCAAAGCTAAGGTTGGGAAAATGCCTCAAATTTGCTGTTTTCCGTTCAATTTGTTCCATGAAAGAGCAAATGTTGGGATTTCAGCACTAGTCTTTACCCTTTTCTGGGGATTTGCTTCATTATTTTTACAGAAAATTAATTGGCGATTTTGGCTACAACTAATTGCAAGTTTTAGAAAAGACATGTAGCCATTTACCATTAAAATATTTTATTACGTTCCGTAATATGTTTAAACCTAATATCCACAATTTGGACAAGTGGCAATATAAGTAACTCTAGAAGGCGAACGGTTAAATATTTTGGTGCGAAAAAATGCAACGATTAACGTAATATTTTCATGGATAAAAAAAATGAACAAATTTGAATATTCGATTACAGGTAACGATGTAGTACCACAATATATGATAGGGGGCATTTTTTTTGGGACACCCTGTATACGAGGTATGTCGAAATCAGGCATACTTTGTAGCCACAAACCGTGGCTATATACGAGGTATGCCGAAATCAGGCATACTTTGTAGCCACAAACCGTGGCTATATATGAGGTATGCCGAAATCAGGCATACTTTGTAGCCACAAACCGTGGCCAGATATGATGTATGCCGAAATCAGGCACACGTTTTAGCCACAAACCGTGGCTATATACGAGGTATGCCGAAATCCTGCACATTTTACAGCCACAAACCGTGGCTATATAAGAATCACAACAGTATATGGAAAATAGTATATGGAAATCCAATTTTCATAGTAATTGCAATTTCCACACTGTGGATATTATGCTTAGGGTTATTTGCTATACGCGATTTCTGATCGCGCGCAGTATATAAGAATGAGTATACAAGCCTATTTTATTATTTTCAGGTAAATCGATATGTTCTTGGGCGGTGCAAATGCATGAGAGCGTTACTTTTTTCCCAAGCCAATCAAGCTTGGATATATTTACATAAGATTTAAACTCATGCCCAAACGAAAATATATTAATCATGGAACAGCAGGCTTTCAATTAGGACAAATTATACACCCGTAGTCTATGTGGCACCTGCCCTGAATGACGTCCACACAACATTCACATTTTGCGATTCAAGTTCCATTGACGCTTATTAACGTTGCCAGAGAGAAGCGCCTCAAAATTTTGTGCAAATTTTGGGAGAGAAAATTATCTAAACAAACAGAGCACAGAAATCGGCTAAAGACAAAGTAAATGTTATTATAAATTAGCTTTGGTATCTGACGATTACTTTTTTTACTTTTGTCGGTCTGTTCATAGCGACGTTGGATGTCAAAACAAATCCGTTTTTAGTGAATATTTGGGAACGATTTTTGACGTTTTACTACGAGGAAAATATGATGTTCTTTAGCTTCGCAGAGGGTATAATCGCTTCTCTGAACGAAGTATTATAATTAAAGGTGAATAAAGCATTAGGGGAGTTTGGGGGATTATATTTATATTTGTACACACGACGAACACAGCACAAAGTCAAAGACGAACGGATCAATTGAATATTGTAAGGTAAACACTATAATTATAAAGATCTGAAATCATGTTGAAATTTTCTTCTCGTGTTTCTCTGAGGATTGGTTTGAATTCATCCTGTTCTGTATAATAGAATCAAAACGCTGCAAATCCTCGCATGGATATAGCGTTTAAATCGTCGCACAAGTATTTCGTACCCTTGAAATGGGTAAAACTCGCCCAAACAATCCCTGCTGTTTCGATAGCTACTATCCAAAGATACCCTAAACCTTCAAAAGTCCAGCGTTGGTCCGCTGGACGAAGCCGAAAGTGCCGAAGGGCCTACAAGAAATGTTCTAAATCTTCTTTGGTATAGTTCAGGCACAAAACATGGAAGCATTATAATAATTAAAGTCCTGAAGCCGGCTGTATACGAAGGCTGGATATAGGGCTATCCTATATAGGAATAGCAATTTTTTCAACATTTCTCAAAATGCATGAATTAATTAAAGCTGTGAAACAACTGATATATGGACACCGCGATTAGTAAAAGGAAACTTTAATTTATAAACACTAAAGTTTAATCTGGGTTATACACCAATCGAAGGTCGATTGTAGAAACTTTGAAAAACATAGCACACTAAATTTAATTTTTCTCCCCACAAATTTTTCGCCGTCGGCAAGGAGCTCCCCCCCCCCCCCCCCCCCAAATCGACAAACATTTTTGGGAAGTTTTAAGTTTATAAAGGAAAACTCGGGCAATTTCGATCAAGGTTGGACAAATTTTTGTCAGCCGTTGGCGGCCTATATGTGCATGACATCGCAAATATAGATTAAATCATTAATTTCATAATTATATGTATTCTTCACAGAATGGCAAAGCAGCATTATAATACCATCGTGATGGCAAGACGATAGCAAATTATATATCCAAAGATGATTTCTTCGACATAAATAAATTATTGCATTGCTGGGAATTAAATAGTCAAAAGATTGGAAGGCTCTTCAATATATTCAAATTAAATCGAAACCATTTACCGTAATGCCAATGTTTAATGATAATAAATTTCGAATGACCAGATCAGTGCAACTCGCTACAGCGCGTAATTACATGGAACGAAGACGGCTCGGTCAAACCATTCTGCAGTATCAAAAAGAAAGCAGAGAAATTATGAAACAGCTAAGGGATAGACAACATAGCTTCTTGAAAGCAAAATACCCGCACATTGCTGCAATGAACAGTCTTCAAATGATGGGCAAGGACGATTTTAATCCAAGACCGAGTACAAAAAGATGTAATGAAATTAATTCAAGTCGAGAAACAAGACTGGTGTCAAAATCTGTAACGTACGTTAAAAAAGAGATAAATACGTCAAGGAATAACAGAGGGCGGACAGCAAAATGTTCGCCAAATGAAACTGAGAGGATTTATCGAAAGCAGAAAAGTACAATTTCGTTGCCTTCTTTAACAAGTCGACACATCAAGCAAAATAGGAATTTGGAAATTAAATACGTTACGACTAGATTACCACCATTAGACGAGTTTCGTTTATAATAGATAAAGTTATTTGGAATGGAAGAGACTTGGAGCAAGTTGTTTTATTTTATACAGAAAGACACTATTGCAAGGAATACGAAAAGACACTGTTGCAAGGAATATAAACAGCCTGTTCAAATGGACCCAAATAATGGTGGCCCAACATTTTTCAACAATGTTGAAATATTTCGTTCGACACTGTATACGGTAACTGTTTATTTTTCAAGTCTAATAGGTAAACCACTGAGAAGATTTAACCAAATTGTAAATCTGTGACTGTGTTTTGAAACATTTGTGAAAGAAACAATGTCAAGCATTTCTTGAAAATTGTTGGATATGATTTCGGCCCAAAAATTCAATGTATATATATATATGTATATATAAAAAATTCAATGTATATATATTATAGAGACGATGTATTTTTACAGTAAGATAATTAAAATGATTTAGAAGTATCAATGTTATGGCTGTTGGGTTAAAAACACGGGCAGGAGTGTTGAATCAGTTTTACAAAAAAACACAGTTATATTAGATACAACAGTGCAACACTTTTGACTGGACACATCTCCAATACGGTCTGGCCGAGTGGTTAGCGCACTTGCCTTTCATCTCTAAAGGCCTGATTCCACGATGGCGAAATTCTTCGCGCGAAATCGTGTCTCGGCGAAATATGGATGGCTGCACACGAGTGATTCTGTTGAATTTGCACACTTTCGTCGCTTTCGCAGTGAGTAGAACTGACTTCTACTCACTGGCGCAGCGACTTTTTTTCTCGCGAAGCCTAATTTATCTTTACTGCGCATGCACCTAATTCATATGAAAAGAGTAAAAAGTCAACGCTATGCCGAAAGTCGTGGGTTTTCTCCGGGTGCTCCGGTTTCCTCCCACAGGGAAAGTTGACAGGGTGGGTTGGGTAAAAAGGCCCCACAGAAATTGGCATATGCTGTTATGGTGACCCTGCCCTAGTTGGCAAAGCTAATTGAAAAAATGCAATGCCCCATCATAATTCGGATTCCGCTATAATGGGGACCCCCTTTTAGACACCTCCTCCCTCCCTCCCCCTCCCCTGCATGCAAGCGGGTATGGCTATGCATGAAACTCTTTCGGAAAGTACGTCACAGAGGCTACAGAGCCCAATTTGCTTCACCACGAAGATTCCGACAACACTGACAATTTTCCGACGGGTCTCAACAATAGGGGGGGGGGGGGTATGCCCCCCCCGGCCACGGCGCCACTGTGCAACCAACATAACCAGAAACTCCGACCCTTGGACCATTATAGCACCATAGAAAATACTACAACTTTTATAGTATTTACGCCTATTTAGGCTTTTTGGTATCTCATTTTCATGATGAGGCTCGGAAGTATTGAAACAATCTTACAAATCGGTATTTCTTGCCAGTATCGATACTTTTATTCAAAACCCTGGTGTCAATAGTATCGAGTATTTGGTATAGGCCCATCCCTAGCAAAATTCAACCTCGCAAGCCACTAAAACAGGCTCGCTACCTCAGTGCTCGCTACTTCCAGCCTCGTACCCAGGCGCTGCCCCAAACACGCTCCAGCAGACCAGCACGTTTGGGACTATCTCGTACCCAGAGCAATGCCTGTGCGCGGGCTAGGATGCCTAGCCCGCGCACAGGCATTGCTCTGGGTACGAGATTGCGTTTGGGAGGGAAGCGGAAGTAGTGAACCTGGCCTGCGATGACAGAAGGAGAGACCCTGGGAACGAGGTTGACAAGTATTGTGTATTGTGCTGGAAGCGTATTAGAGTTATTATCAGCTTTGTCTGTTAGTGCAGTGTGCCAGGACTCTAAGGTTTTAAGTTTCCTATGATTTCCCTTGTCTATTACTTTAGCATTGGCAAAGTCAATTATATGATCTTGAGTCCATGAGTGTTTCGCGACATTCGACCCTTTCTTGCCTTGTTTCACATTCCTTACGTGTTCGGACTTTCTCGTCTTCAGGGATCTTCCTGATCTCCGAACACGTAAGGAATGTGAAACAAGGCAAGAAAGGGTCGAATGTCGCGAAACACGCAAGGACTCAAGATCATATAATTGACTTTGCCAATGCTAAAGTGATAGACAAGGGAAATTATAGGAACTTTAAAACCTTAGAGTCCTGGCACACTGCACTAACAGACCAAGCTGATAAGAACTCTAATACGCTTCCAGCACAATACACAATACTTTTAAGAAAGGAACTCAAGAAACATTAATTAAATATTTATATTCCTCATTTGTAACATAGGCAGCATAGATAGTCTCATATTTCATACCTTTATAGAATCATTTGTATACACCCGTTGAAGGTTATAGACTGATAGCCGAAAGCACGTAGAAATAAATATTTAGTCAGAGAACGTTCAATAATATGTTTCAACCTGGCTACGCATCCTCTATTTTTTCAATTATGCATATGGTTTTGGACTTTTGGTACTTGTTATGGTTTTGGTTTATAGTACTGTGACCATAGAGATTATAAATAACACTAGAGGAGGCATCGAGTTTAAAAATTGGGAACGCAGCTAATGGGGGGCAAATTCAAGTCCCGGATATAAAATCGTGCTCTCATTGGCTGATTCGAAACTCGTCACCAATGGGAACACGAATACACATCCGGGACTTGAATTTGCCCCCCAATAGTCGCGTTCCCTTTTTTTTACTGAATTAAGATTACAATGCCTCCTCTAGTGTTACTTATAATCTCTATGACTGTGACAACTGACAACGTGTTGCTTACGTGTTGCTTGCCATCACCACAAATCTATTTTCGAACCATATAATAGTGTATATGCAGACTGGGAGAGAGATTACACCAGCTATATTATAGTCCGTATGAAATCTATTTACACGAAAGCGATTGATTTACCGCCCGACTGATTCGAAAGCTCTTAAAAGTGTCTTATCCATTTGATGCACAGCAAGATATCATTTTACCACTTCGAATGTTGACTCGATATTGAACATATATATGCAAAACACCAGTCAATGACTCCTGCTGCTATTATTGTTTTAAAAATGTAAAACCATTATTAGATATGCTCAGCCAATGACTTCTGACACCAATAGATGACTCGTATTTGGCGCAAAAGAAAGCATCCTCAGTTTTGGTAATACTGTGGTTCTATAATCTTATTAATCTATAGTTCCTGGAAAGATGCCATCTGTTCTCAGAAATCTTGCAATCAAAGCTGTTTTCCGATTGTTACCCATCATTTCTGCCTATATTATTTATAAAATTTACAACACGGACAATGTGGCAGGCACACCCAAAATAACCCGAGATGAAGTTATCGAAAGGCAACGTGAAACCTTTTTCAAACAAGAAGCAGGCGGAAAGGTAATTCATTCACCACAGTGTAACCGTATCCAGGGGTCTATATTTAAGGCCCGTTTCATACATCGCGCTATCGTCGAATTTAATTCAGACGAATTTGCGACGGTAGTGCGTCGTATGAAAGGAATTAAATTCGTCCAAGTCTCCAAGACGTTTTATCCTTCATGGTCAGACGGATACAACGTCTGTACGTGGAGCGTCTTCGTTTAATTAAATGCATAAATTATGTTGAAGTCTGTTTCTGTTTTTCTGATCCCGTGGTTTTTATTGCTGGGTAATAAAACCGCATTCAGATGCTTCGTCTCGTGCAGAAAGACGTGTCATGTTTTCGTTACAAAACATTCCGGAATGTGGCTACATTTCGAGCGACATTCTTGCCAAAGACTCCTGCTGCTCGAAATGTAAAACTATTATTAGCTAATCTCAGCCAGTGATCTCGGCACAATTCCCCGTGGAATAGAATGGATCAGATGTCGCCATTCCGAGTCAAGGCATTATGTTGTCGCATTCCCGAATGTTCCGGCGCCAAAAGATGACTCGTATTTTAGCGCAAGAGGACGAATCCGCGGTTTTGGTGTGGGGGAACGAAAGATGAAAAAAAAAACGCGGATGCTGAAGCCTGGTTCAAACTGGCAATTTTGTCGGCGATTTTGTGTTTCTGACGGATCCGATGCAAATGAGTGAACTCACACACAAACGTATAGAGTCGCTTTTCAGAAGTAAACAATTCTAAGTCTTTTGTATGTCATTCATTCAATCACAGGAGGAGAGAAATCGCCGACAGAATCGGCTAGCGTGAACCAAGCTTAAAAGTCTGAATCTCTAAAACCTGGAATACTAAAACCTGAAATATATACAAGAGAAATCTAAGCTAAAATTATATTTAAACTTCGTTTCAGTGTGTAAGTAAATAAGACCACCGACTTAGCAAATAATCATTTTATACTGTCTTTTTGAATATTTCTATAAGTACTTCGCCTAAATCGAGATCACTATTCTGCAATCGTCCACAAAATATTTGAGACAAAGCCCCCTCCCCCCATTTCAATGTTGCTTTGTGCTGTAAAATTATTTTATTCAAATATAATCCCTTAGATTTTGAATGCGAATAGGACACTTGCGGTTGTTGGGTTACGTTATATTTCTGTCAGGAAGATAATAGCATTTCAACATTGAAACTGGGGGAAGGGGGGGGGGGGAGTGCATTCCAAAAGTCTCGATATATTTTGTGGACGATTGTCGGTTGTAGTGTGATTCTGGGTTTTAATATGATTCCTGGTTTTAGTATGATTCTGGGTTTTAGTTGATTCCAGGTTTTTAGTTGATTCCAGGTTTTAGTATGATTCCGGGTTTTAGTATGATTCCGGGTTTTAGTATGATTCCAGGTTTTAGTTGATTCCGGGTTTTAATATGATTCCGGGTTTTAGTATGATACGCCCCCGTGGAAATCAGCTTCGGTTGACGGGGTCAGCGTGTATAAATAAAGTTTCTATCTATCTATGATTCCGGGTTTTAGTATGATACGGGTTTAGTGTGATTCCGGGTTATGGCATTCCTGCTTAGATACCAACATGAAGTGTTTTTGAAAATTTCACAAATTTACAGTGACAAGTATAATATGTGTCCTTGTATAGATTGCTCAAGTCAAAACTGATGCTCAAGTGTATCTACACAATCGATTTTCCAAATGGAAGGACAGCACCAAAACCTACATGATTCCTCCAATCTTCAAACCGAAGCAAAGCGGAAAGTCTGTGCCCGATTTTAATCCAGGGGAAAACGGTGAAAGGATCATATACAATCACTTGCGGGAGCTTGGAAACATGGGTATGTTTGTTATTCACGATTTTGTGTTACGAGGTACAAATAAATGGCACAGCATGAAATGCAAAAGTAAAGACTACTCAGTACAAAAATCAGAATCGAACACAGGGGAGTGCGATTTTTTCATTTTCCACCACCAGCTTGGTATAATATTGCTTGAGGTGAAAAATTACGTGGGCGTTTCAGATAGCAACATAAACGATGCAAAGAGTCAACTTAAGAAAAGTCGTGAACTAATTATGAAATACGCTAATCCATTGCCAAATGATGCAACTCAGACCCAAGATGATATTCCATACAAGAAGGTAATTGCTTTGACATCCATCAAGAAAGCGGATTTTAATCGTGCCGCTTTCCCAAACCTGGAAGATGACACATTATTCCTATTTAAAGACAACTCTCAAGACATTTCTTCATTTCGGAAATGGTGGAATGAAGCAATCGAAAATCCATTATCCACGATTCAACTGTCAGCAGAAACACAAGCAGCTTACGAGCGAGCCTTATCAAGTATGTTGATCGATCGGCATATGGGCCCTGTGAAAGAAACTGAATGTTTAGGAGAACTCTATGAATCTCTGGTTAAATATAAGTACTATGGGAATGCAGCCTACCCTCAACTTGTGGAGAATATGTTCCCCTTTTTTCGGTTCTGCTACTGGGAAGTCCTAAACCAAAAGGATAAAAAAGATGGTTCTTTGGCAAAGGACGAAGAGAAAGAGAAGAACAAACCGAGAGAAAAATCTTTTCGACAGGAAGGAATGGGGTTTCTTGATAAATTGTGGCATAAGGTGTCTAAGTTCATTCAAGGGAATAAATATTCGTTGATAGATGATTCAATATCTACTGTGCTTAAACATTCTTTCTGCTTCCCCTTCGAGGATATCCGACGTTTCACCATCAAAATGTTAGAACTATGGTCAGAGATAGGAAAGCTGCCTTCCAAAGATCATTCGTTAATACTGAAGAGGTATCCATACTTAAAGCTGGAATCTCCTGAAGATTATAACATGCTTAACCAACACCTTTCACGGAGCGAGTTCATGGAGGGAGACAAACCAAGTGTGGATGACAAACAAGTCATGGAATTACTAACATGTCGAATGAGACTCGAACATGCACACTATCCAATAGTCATGACCTCAGAGCAACTGGTTGTTTTCGAGGGACCCAGCAAACAGTTGATAATTGGCCCGCCAGGAAGTGGTAAAACAGAGCTATTGAAGTTCAAGGCCCTTGAACTGGATATTGAAATGAAAATTTGCAAGAGAGAGAAGAAGATTATGTACATTCTTGCCAATGGATCTCCCGATTATCCTGACAGACATTCTCTATTCTTTTATCAAATGAAAGAATTTTTCAAAATCTCCTCTTTCGTTGAAGTTATCTCTATTGTACTAGAAGATGAATCAGCTGAAGACACAGAACATACGACATCAGAGATCAGGAAAAAGATTCAAAGTGGCGAGTATGAACATGCCTTTATCGATGAGTACTGGATTGGGTCCAAGCCAACTGAGCACAAGATAATACTAGAGCTTGTTCGCGGGTTACCAGGTTATGTATGGATTAGCTCTATGTTCAACTACCAACCAGAAGCGAAGAAAGTGAAAGCTAATACTCAACCACTTTTAACAGCGCTGCATGAAAATGGTGGAAAAGTTCGTCATATCACTCAAGTCATGAGAGCCACAAACAGTATCATAGAGCTTGAAAGAGATTACAGTAAAGTGTATGCAGATCGATCTTACCCTTATGGAACTGAACAAATCCTTTTTAACTCTAACCAAGGGCAACCCGTGACCTGGGCTGCTGAAAAAAACGTGAACGAGATGTACGACAAATGTGTGGATATTGTTAGCAGGGCCATAACAGATGCCGTAGTTAAAGATGCAGTTAAAAGCGATAAACCTGCTTTTTCCCCTGCAGATATTCTCATTGCGGATTTTGCTATTCGGATGAATGAGTCGCGTCAGCTTAAGCAGTCACTGCTGGATCGTTTAAAGAACAGTCATATTCCTGTTTGGACATTTGAGGAGAGGAGAGAGCAGTTTCTGAGGTGCACAATTATGGGGAAAGTAACCCTACTTCGGTCTGATAAACGAAGTGCCTCTGAATTCATTGACGGTGTTGAATGGCCAATGGTCGTGGTTATCCTGCCTTCTGGCATGGTGCTGAAGACAGCAAAGCTGGCAGATGGAGCAGAGAAGCTCAGGAAATTAGATACTTATATTTCCTTCTTTCGTACGAAAGAGAGGTTGGTCGTGATCTCAGATAAGTGGACAAATAAGGAGGAGTTTTTGAGTGATGTCAAAACTCAAGTCTGATTTATAATTTCGATAATATAACACATTTATATAACTTAATGCAAAAAGCAGCTTTAGCTTAACTCAGTATTGTATAACCTGTTTACGAAAAGGTAAATTTGGCTAGCGCTTGTTTATAACGTTGCTGCCCACTTCACGACTTTGGAGAACTTACACGCCGTGTTACAATTGTTCCAGTTTACGGAAGCGTAAGATAGAACGAAAGTGACTAAGCGAAAGTGACTGATAAAACTGAAACAACAGTAACTATAGGCATGAATTGAGTGTAAACAAGCGTTCCCAAACTAGTCTATTCATTCGATGTTATAGCACGCATAGAACTACATAGAGGCAACCTTGATGCATGAAATTTTCACTATATTAATCATTTATCATAAATTCAACGTAAAGCACATCAGGCAACAAATTTGCAAAAATATGCTTAGTTCTTAGTAAGGTTATTGACCGAAATACACATGTTTCACTGAACCAAAACGTTCAGGAAGACGACACCGTTAATTAAGGAATTTGCCAAGAACCACGATTGCTAGCTTTCTAGGAGAATGTTTGCAGGATGAATTACACGAATTAATGTTTGGCATGCAGATTCACCTTTTTCAGACTTAAAACGGACTATACACGTGTTCGATAAAATATAACAATGCACGAAGCACAACTGAATTTGCGAAGTGCACTGATTCAGAAGTAATAAAACTAATGTTTGCCTGCAGAATCTTCTTGTGTGTTCTCTTACCAGGCTTAAAGCCTAGTAGGCTTAAAACCTGGTTCCGCATGGTCGTAACGATCGTAAAGATTGGATCATGATCTTTCTCATCAGCTGAAATACAACATTTTAAAACTGAAAATACGCGGAGTGATTATAAGTGGAGAATACTTACGAGTTATATGTGGTTAAAGGCCGGTTTCCATTGCAGTCGCTTTGCCCGCGCGGGCGGAACGGGCTTTGAAAATCTGCTCACGCGGGCCTGACGGGCGTCAAAAACAATGGACGCTTCGCCCGCACTATATATAATAGCAGCAAAAGCTATGCTGGGCCTGTCATTATTCATGTGTCTAAATATGACAAATATATAAAATTTATCATTATCAAAACACGTATTATTATACTATTGTATAATACTACCTATAAATTACAGTTTTAAAAAAGTTACATAACCGTGACATAATAGTGTGATATGACGCAATAACAAATCATGTATTTTCCATGCAGTCCGAATAAACCTTAATTGGTCCATTGCATCACCCAAATTTAGTGGAAAATACCTAAATTAAAAACGTTAAAATAACGATAGTAATTCGTTATAAACACAGATTTTAAATGAGAATTTTCCAAAAAAACACCAGATAAAACAGGTTTTGTAAGACATTAAAAACATTGTCTTGAGTTATTCGTGGACGTTGCGCGTGTGAATCTCGAACGTTCTGGCAACAAATCACTGAAGATCTTCAGTTATGTTGCACAGTTTCAATGGATTATCACAATGTTATCAATTACCCTGCTCTCGTACAAAACGTATGTCATGTTTTCGTGTCAAAACATTCTGGAATGTGACTACATTCTTGCCAGTGACTCCTGCTGCTACTGTGGTTAAAATGCAAAGTTATTATTAGCTAATCTCAGTCTGTGATCTCGACACGATTTCTCGTGGACCAATCAGATGGCATTCCCAAGATGTCAATTGCACAACGTTAGGAGGCCTTATATAGTCAAATCCCTGAATGTTTTGACGCCAAATTGATGACTCATATTTCGCGAGAGAGGAACTGATCCACAGTGTACAGTTCCAGAAATGTTATACGCGCTCTAAGAGATCTTGTATGATCAAAGCTTTCATTTGCTATTCATTATCTGTCGGTATCGTTTGAAATTATTTTGGAACAGACATTATGGCAGAAACAACCAGCTCAACTACAGAAGACATCGCCGGTGACTTTATTGTTAAACAAGACGCAGGCCAGGTAAATCACCACTATATTTTTTTTGGTATAGAACAATCAGTGCATGGCCATGGGTAGAACTACGTTTAATAGAAATAGAACCTACAGTAGTATTGTGTATAAGTCAATGTCGAGTAACAGGGTGTAAGAAGGAAATATTTCACAGTTATGATGCAATGACGTGACAAGACCACCTCGATAAAACAGTGATGCAACAGGCTATTGTGATCACATAAACTGCGCTTGTCCAGCTAGCTAAGCGGACTGAAGGAATTCATGTAAGCTCGTTTAACAAAAAAAACTTGAGAATTTCATATTTAACTTTTTCTAAAACTTGCCAACCATGTGTATATGATGCATATTCCTATGGTGCGGAAACTGCGTGAAAAGTGTTTCCCAATTAATTTCCTACAAATTTTCAAGGAAATTGGCAAACCAATTTTTGCTGCAATTGGAACCCTAATTCATGATATAACAGACATTGGGGGTGCTTCTCATAGCATCAAAGTACAGTGTGTTGAGCACAAATTTCAAAACCGTGGGTAGGAATAATTTACCAGTGCTAGTTATGAAAATAACTCGGCTGACGTTCTCGAATCTCTCAGTTGGAAAACTTTGCCAACTTTTAGAGAAAATACAAAAAATAAACCAGTATTTGTGAAGAAAAGTCTTACTAGCTTATACACTGCTCCAAACTCGGAGTAGCTAACTAGGAGAAGCTCTTTTGATGGTAAATTGTAATCATAGAAATAGTAACATCGATTCCTTCTCTCCTAAATTCTCCTGAAGGGGTTTCCTGAAAAAGTGCCTAAACTTTGGAAAAGTTTTCCTTTGAAAGCTAAACTGGCGCAATCAATATATAGAGAATAATACATGGGAGCGCGGAAATACCAGATTTATTTCGAGTGTTGAACATAATATCTCACGAGTGAGCGCAGCGAACGAGTGAGATATCATGATCAACACGAGAAATAAATCTGGTATTTCCAAGCATCCATGTATTTTTCTGTTTATTATATAAACAAAATTCAGTGAAAAACAATAAAACGTCCGTGGCAATGCGTTTTACAACAAATGATATTTTCACACGTAAAAATATCGTATTTGTTACGTGTGTTTAAATACGATCTTTCTCAGTGGCCCAAAACTCTATATAACACTTATGTTTATATAATAAAGTATTTTATTATCTAATACTTCAATAATAATCCAGTATCGAATCTTGAATAGAGTATACATGCATTTGTAGTCTTGTAGATGGATGTGTCGTTGTTTTTTTCATTTATTTATTTACTTGAATGACCATGCATGCATCCAAGTTATTAAGCCGCCTGAAATCAAACACCTCCATATATAAGGCCCACTTTCTATAGGCCATTTCAGATAAAAAAAAAACCATCTTAAAATACGCCATGCAATGCATGCATGGGCTAATACATGCATAGAGAGGCGCAGAGAGGGAATTTGACATGTTTGCAGTTGTTTATGAATACAGAGGATGACACAAACTATACTGACAATGTCAATGTATATTCCCCTTCCTCTGTATATATATCAGCTAAGTCCCTAGCCCCTACATTTGACGAGATAAATGAAACGGAAGAAGACGAGTTTCAGAGTGCTGTTATTTATATGAAGATAAACGCGCTATATAGCTGATAAAGTACTGGCTACTGCATATTTGCATGGTGCTGTCATGATTAGTTAAATTATAAAATGTCCACACTGGCCTGAAAATGGCAACTTTCGTGGTACCATATACCTGTGCAGCTGTATGCATATTTTGATAGCTATATGGGGTAAAATATATATACTGAAAACAAAAGACCACCAATAGTGATTTAAATGACTATATATAAATTGTGTAGTGATGAAATTTTTTTTGGCATTTTTCAACAACTGCATGGTACCGGACATATCTTTAAAGACAATGTCTTGAGTTATTCGTGGACGTTGCGCGTGTGCATCTCGAACGTTCTGGCAACAAATCACTGAAAATCTTCACTTATGTTGCAGTTTCAATAGATCGATTATCATAATCTGGAATGTGACTAGATTCTTGCCAGTGACTCCTGCTGCTACTGCGGTTAAAATGCAAAGTTATTATTAGCTAATCTCAGCCTGTGATCTCGACACGATTTCTCATGGACCAATCAGATGGCATTCCTAAGATGTCAATTGCACAACGTTAGGAGGCGTTATATAGTCAAATCCCTGAATGTTTTGACGCCAAATTGATGACTCATATTTCGCGAGAGAGGAACTGATCAACAGTGTACAGTTCCAGAAATGTTATACGCGCTCTAAGAGATCTTGAATGATCAAAGCTTTTCATGTGCTATTCATTATCTGTCGGTATCGTTTGAAATTATTTTGGCTCAGGCATTATCGCAGAAACATTCAGCTCAACTACAGAAGACGTTGTCGCCGGTGACTTTATATGTGCATGGGTAGAAGCACGTTTAATAGAAGTAGAACTTACAGTAGCATTGTGTATAAGTTAATGGCGAGTAAAAGGGTGTAAGAAGGAAATATTTCACAGTTATGATGCAATATTATGACGTAGACCAGATCACCTCGATAAAACGAGGTGACTTTTAAACTATGACTTCATGCAACAGGCTCAGGCTATTGTGATCACATAAACTGCGCTGTAGTCCAGCTAAGCGGACTGAAGTAATTCAAGTAAGCTCGTTCAACAAAAAACTCATATTTATATTTAACTTTTTCTAAGGACTTGCCAACTATGTGTATATGATGCATATTCCTATGTTGTGGAAACGGCTCCGTGAAAAGTTTTTCGAAATTAATTTCCTTCAAATTTTCAAGGAAATTGGCAAACCGATTTTTCCTGTAATTGGAACCCTAATTCATGGTATTATAACTGCCAGACATTGGGGGTGCTTCTCATAGCATCAAAGTGCAGTGTATTACGTACAAATTTCAAAATCGTGCGGTATAGGAATAATTACCAGTGCTAGCTATGAAATAACTCGGCTGACGTTCTTGAACCTCTCAGTTGGAAAACTTTGCCAACTTTAGAGAAAATACAAAAAATAAACCAGTATTTGTACAAAAGTCTTAATTACTAACTTGTACACTGCTCCAAACTCGAAGGAGTAGCTAACTGGTTAGCACTATTTTCCATCCAGCAAACCGCTCTATATATCGATTTTCTAAAGTCTTTCTTTTTGGATTTATTTAGTAATTCAGTTAGGGTTAGAGTTAGGGTTGCGGTTAGGGGTTAGAGTAGGGGTACGGTTTGGGTTAGTTACATAGCCATTTTAACACCTCTCAGTTCCATCTTCCGAAAATTATGTCACGTCAGTTTACTGGATGGAAAATAGTGCTAACCTAGCTAACTAGGAGAAGCTCTTTTGATGCTAGATTATAATTTTAGACTAATAGTATAACATCGATTCAGCTCTCCTAAGTTCTCCTGAAGGGATTTCCTGAAAAAGTTTAAAGTATAGCGTGCCTATTCACTGCCTAAACTTTGGAATTGTCTTTCTTCGAAAGCTAAACTGCATGGCGCAATCAATATAGTATTTTAGTATCTAATAGTTTAATAATAGTCCAGTACGAATAATGGAGTACACTTGTAGATGGGAAGGAACTCTTCATTATTGAATCGAGTGAGATATGCCAACAAAATCTCGATATATTTACCCATAACCTAAACATGGCAGTACCCATATATATATACATGCTCTATTTACCCGCAGTCAATATGGTATTTTAGTATCTAATAATTTAATAATAGTCCGGTATCGAATAATAGAGTACACATGCAGTAGATGGGATTTTAGAGAGCTTTTCCCCATTTATTTATTTGTATTATAGATTTATAGTTCTTAAAGTGATGTTATAGATATATATGTATACGACAATAAACGCGCTAGTTGATAAAGTATACTGCATATTTGGTGCATGCCATGCAGACATCATGTGGATTTAGGTAAAAATAGTGCTACGATTAATTAAAAAAACCCACTATATCTGTATGGATATTATAATACTGAGGTATGGGGTAAAATATATATTGAAAACAAAGACCTGAGACGACCATGCATGCAATACTGCATGAACTTTACATGACTATATTTCATATGCATACAAAGCAAAGATGTTGTCTATATGACGTATAGTCAATAGCAATTTGAGCATCCTTTCGAACACATGCATTCGAATATGTATCGTAAAATGAAGCGAGCCAGTGAGCACTCATTTACTAAGGCATTCCAAGCTTTCATAATCTAAATTCTGAAAGCACAGCAAGAACGCAAATGAGTTACTATGTACTGAAACGGGTTGTTTAATTAAAAACACAAAGGTAAAAGGTAACACTATAGTTAACGTTCACTGCCCGTTACAGTTAAAACCTTAATATAAACTGCGATTAGTTAACTATACACGACTTAACTGCGTTGCACGAAACGTATAGTTAGCAGGGCGCCTGTCTATATATAGAACAGCAATGTAGCGGCTATTATTACAGGTATAGTGGGCGTTCTTCTAATAATCTTAGCACTCTTTTATATCTACCCACATGGTGTCTTATCATATATCAAATAATAATTTGTCTCTTTAAATTAACTTCAGTATATAGCATCATTAATAATTCCTCAACTTTTCCCAATTTACATTTCCCCTAATTCTTACTGAAAGTGAATGTATATAATTGAGCCAATTTTATTTGTATTTTGTTTTTGTAATAAATTCATTGAAGAACAGGATATATTCTCGAAAGATATTCTCGTTATTTCCTTGTTTATTTGAAAGAAAAGAAGTGGGTGGGGGTCTGGCTTTACAGTTAGCTAGAACGCAATATCAAAGCTACCAGTTTCGTTGGTGACCTGCCCCAAACTGTTAGTGAGCTATTTTTGTATAAGTTTGTTTTTCGTAACCAACATGCAGTAACGTTAACAAGGCAAGATATCCAGGTGATAGTTCTTCCTGCTGAGGTTTAACTGTTTCTCGCATGTTCATAGCGCTCAAAGTTGCTTTAGAACTTGTTATGCGAATTCATAGGCGTGGCCATTTTATGCGATTTCAGAGCCAATGAAAACATTTTCACTGTAGCGGAAATTCCAGTCAAATGTATAGCGAAATCAACAGATTCAAAAAGTCGTTATTTGCACCCTGGAATTTCCAAACATCATTAAATTTTTTTGGTATTCTGTGTTTGCAATGACGTAATTTTGGGATTTTAGTTTAGAGACAGTTTAAGACTCAAAAGATGAATTACCGTTCAGTTTTTCTTGCTATACAACCATTCTGATAGGAGAAAATCGTCAACTTGCAAACGAGAATAGAATAATTTGAGTAGGAAGATTTCAATTCTGAGGTCCATATTTGGCAAAGATCTTTAAATAGTGAGATAAAAATTGTGACGTCAACTCGGATGGTTAACTATCAGTTGTAGTGCTATACACGTCTAAAAGTGGCTACAAGTACCTTTTGTTATATAACTGGTGCTCAAACTAAACGTGATTGGCTTATTTGGGGTCATGTGTTACTGACCTCGTGACAAGTATTATAGTGCATTACTGTCATTGTATAGATGGCTCAAACCAAGACCATTGCTCAAGTGTTTCTGCACAATCGATTTCCCAAATGGAAGGACGACAATAAAACCTACATGATTCCTCCGATCTTTCACGCAAAGCAAAGCCGTCACCAGATTGGCATCACGCAGCCTGTGCCCTATTCTTATCCAGAGGACAACAGTAAAAGTATCATCTACAATCTCTTGAGGGAGCTTGGAGACATCGAAAGAATGGGTATGTTTGTTTTTTATCATTTTGCGTTAAACGACATAGGACAATGGAACAAGAAATGCAAAAACAAAGAATACCTGGCACCTGAATTAGCATTGAAGACAGGGGAGTGCGATTTCATCATTTTCCACCACCAGCTTGGTATAATATCGCTTCAAGTGTATAATTCTTGGTACGTTCGGGATAAAACCATAGAACTCATCAAGAAGTTTTCGGAGGTATCCGAGGCAGAAGATTATTTCTCTGTCCCATACAAGAAAGTTATTGCTTTACCATCCATCAAGAAAGCTGATTTTAATCGAGCCACTTTCCCAAGCCTGAAAGATGACACATTGTTCCTATTTGAAGACGACTCTCAAGACATTTCTTCATTTCAGAAATGGTGGAATGACGCAATCGAAAGCCCAGCCACGATTCCAATGTCAGCAGAAACCTCACAAGCCTACGAGCAAGCCTTATCATATACCTTGATGATTCAGCATCTGGGCCCTGTGACGGAAAGTGAATGTATAAAAGTAATCCACGAATCTCTGGATAACAATACGTACCATGGAAAAGCGGCCTATCCCCAAGTTATGGAGAATAAGTTCCCCCATTTCTTGTCCTGGTGCAGAAATGTCCTCAGTGGGAGGGCCGATGGAAGGAATTCTGTTTTGGAAAAAAAGATACAGCAATCTTTTATGAAGAAGCACAAGCTGAGTGAAAAACATCTTCGAGGAAATAAAGGAATGACGCTTCTTAACGAATTGTTGAAAAACAGCAAGTATATTGATGGAGATGAACAGTCGTCGACAGACGATGCAATATCCGCTGTATTTGAAGATTCTTATTGCCTCTTCTTCAAGCACATTCTAGACTACATTAACAAGATGCGAAAAGTACGATTGGAGATCGAAGAGAAGCATACCAAAGAAGAAGAAGCACTGAAGAAGTATCCATTCCTAAAGCTGAAATCTCCTAAGGATTTCAACATGCTTGACAGACACCTCGCAAGATCACCTTTCATAGATGGAGACGAACCGAGTGAAGTTGACAAACAAGTCTTGGAATCACTAACATGTCGAATGCGACTCAAACATGCTTGCCATCCAATAGTTATGACCTCAGAGCAACTTGTTGTTTTCGAAGGACCCAGCAAACAGTTGATAATTGGCCCACCAGGAAGTGGTAAAACAGAATTAATGAAGTCCAAAGCCCTCGAACTGGGTATTGATATGAAAATATGCAAGAGTGAGAAGAAGATTATGTACATTCTTGCCAATGGATCTCCTGATTATCATGACAGAAATTCTCTATTATTTTACGACATCAAAGAGTTTTTCACTAAAAAGTCCCCTCTTGTTGAGGTTATCTCTATTGTACTAGAAGAAGAATCAGCTGAAGACACAGAACATACAACATCAGAGATCAGGAAAAAGATTCAAAGTGGCGAGTATGAACATGCCTTTATCGATGAGTATTGGATTGGGTCCAAGCCCACTGAGCACAAGATAATACTAGAGCTTGTTCGTGGATTACCAGGTTATGTATGGATTAGTTCTGTGTTTAACTACCGCCCAGAAGCGAAGAAAGTGAAAGCTAATACTCAGCCACTTTTAACAGCGCTGCATGAAAATGGTGGAGAGGTTCGCCATATCACTCAAGTCACGAGAGCCACGAACAGTATCATAGAGCTTGAAAGAGATTACAGTAAGGTGTACGCAGATCGATCTTACCCTTATGGAACTGAACGGATCCTTGGTCATTCTTACGAAGGGCTACCTGTCACCTGGGCTGTTGAAAAAGCCGTGAGCGAGATGTACGACAAATGTGTGGATATTGTTAGCAGTGCCATAACTGACGTCATCCCCCTGGATATACTTAAAAGAGATAAGATTACTCTAGACCATGCAGATGTCCTCATTGTGGATTTTGCTATTCGGATGAACGAGTCACGTCAGCTGGAGCAGTCACTACTGGATCGCTTAACCAACCGTCGTCATGTTCCTGTTTGGACATTTGATGAAAGTCGAGAGCGAAGCGTTGAGTCGAAAACGGGGAAAGTGACTCTACTGCAGTCTGTCACACATAGTGCCTCCAAATTCATTGATGGTGTTGAACGGTCAATGGTCGTGGTCATTCTGCCTTCTGGTATGGTACTGAAAACAGCAAAGCTGGCGGATGGAGCAAAGGAGCTCCGGAAGTTAGATCCTTATATTTCCTTCTTTCGTACGACGGTTAAGTTGGTCGTGATCTCAGATAAGTGGACAAGTAAGGAGGAGTTTTTAAGTGATGTCAAAGTTCATATGTAATTTATTTTACAATTGTATGGCTTTATTCGAGAAAATGTACTGAACATCAGTGACCGCCAAATTTCTATATACACTTAGCTAATATTTAGTAAGGCGAATCTCGCCAATATAATCTGTTAAGCATAGATAAGTTAAACATGTAGTCTAACAAAGAACTTTGAGGAACAGCGTATGCCTTGCAGGACAGTCGGGCAATATATATTTGTTTTTTTAGAACCACTGAGTATTTTAATAAAATACAAAACAAGTGAAACTCCAAAAATCGATAACATTTTTATTTATCTACGTTTCGACTATATTTCAGTCATCATCAGGATAAACTCATATTTATCAGGTTTATCAGTTTTTTTTTTATTTATCAGGTTTATCCTGATGATGACTGAAATATAGTCGAAACGTAGATAAATAAAAATGTTATCGATTTTTGGAGTTTCACTTGTTTTGTATATTATATATTTGTTTCTTTCGTACAATAGTGAAGTTACGTTAGTCGGAGAATAACGAGAAGTTTTTGAGTGATGTCAAAACTCAACTCTGATCTAGGATATTCTCGTTTTTTCCTTGCTTATTTGAAAGAAAAGAAGTGGGTGGGGGTCTGTCTTTACAGTTAGCTAGAACGCAATATCAATGCTATCAGTTTCGTTGGTGACCTGCCCCAAGCTGTTAATGAGCTATTTTTGTACACTATAAGTTTGTTTTTCGCAACCAAAATGCAGTAATGTTAACAAGGCAAGGTTCCCAGGTGATAGTTCTACCTGCTGAGGTTTAACTGTTTCTCAGTTATTTCATATTTCTTCCATATAGCGCGTACAAAATATACCCTGACATATAATAGTTTTGTTTGTGGAAACACCACGTAAATTTATTACTGCAAAGCTTTCTATCCGTAAGCTCGGATCTTCATCAGTGCTAATAATATGTGACTTGTTCAATTCACACGCCCCTTTTTATATACAAAAGTGTCGTGATCTGTTGCCTCGCGTCATTTGAAATTTAATTACACGGTACATCAACCACGTCATTCCAAACGTAGTGAAGTGATTCTAATTAACGCGCGCGCATCCAAGACAAGAGAAATAAATTTTGCACATTAAAGATAGCACGCCACGTACTATCTAGTGGCTTACCCTCTCGATCTATAGTATTGTGCTTCTCAATTTCAATTGACTCTCTCATTTTGCGAGAGAACTTATGACTATCAATCGCCAAAATGGCTGCTTTGTCCCATTGTATACGATCCACA